TCCAATACGAGGCCCGTGATCCTCTCAATGTAGAGGACTACTGAATGGATTTGTTTTATAGCCGTAAGAGTATGAATTAAATTCTGTTTATGACAATATAAAAGATAGGTAACTGTTGAACCTAGACTTAGAGAAGTTAAGATTGTATCATCCGGTGAAGCATCCTGATGGGAGTCTTCTCTTCAGTAGAGCCTCTTTTGAAGAATCTCTCTGAATGGAACTTTCTCCTTAAAAATTACTAGGGGAATGGGGGTGATTCAACCCCGTGTACGTAGCATCGTGGGTTCCTAGCTCTAAATGATTGAATTAGTGGAACTAAGAGGATATCTGAACATATGACATGAAATTTTGATAGAGTAGCGATTAGCTTGCTACGTTTTGTCTGTGGGAAAGGAGTGAGTAGGGTAAAAAATAATTAATCGCCCAAAAGGCCGCGTAAAAGCTTTTGAACTCTGTCAACGCTGGAAAGATGGGCAGCTCCATCCCAGGCATGACAACAGTACGCCATTTTTGGTCTGCTCTTTTGTATATCTACAGCATGGTATGAGTCAGGTACGTTCTAGTCGAACCGGGAACTTCATGGCACCCCCTCGTACATCATCGTTGGGTGCTGAAATGGTCTCCTTTATGATGTATGATTTAATGGAAATAAAAAGTTCGATTATTTCGCAGTAAGTGAATTTTTTCCAGTTGTAGTCATCTGAGTTGAGTTTGGAAGGGTTTTTAAACTGAAGAACGTCTAACCTTTGTCGCTTAACGGGTGAAGGAACGTGCTGAAAATTCATAATGTTTGTTTGAATATAAAAATAAGTAGATTTGTCCTCCCAGGTCGGTTAGCCTGAATCAATCAAATACTTTTGTTTGCTTGCTGACTCCATTTTCTCTTTTGCTTTATTTCAGTCTACACTGAAAGTTGCTGCCTTTCATCGCCGATTGATGGAGACGGAAGAAAAAGACCAGCGTAAATGGTTTAATGAAACTAACCACAAGGGAGTTAAACTTTTCTGCAGTTAGCATCCATTTGGTTATTTCTTTTTTCGATATATTTTTGGAAAGTTATTAGAGAAACTAGCAGAATATCCGTCAATATGGACGGATTACGTATTGATATACATTTGCCTATTTCATTCTCTTCTCCTCTACGATTTGTGAAAAGTCTTAGAAACAAATATAGATTAGATTGAATCATTTTCATTTTTGGGTAACAATTGTGATCTTTGGAAGAATAAAGCTAATAAACAAAAGAGATTTTTTTTATTTATGTCTTAGCCTAATACATGGCTGGAACACCAGGTCTATGGTGAACGCAGTCTATCTCGGAGGAGAAATTTGAATTCAAAATTCTTTTGCAAGTTTTTATTGGGTGGAAAAAAGTTAGGATAATGCAACTCTAATGTAATACCCTCTAGTATTGTTAAACCAGATATCTTGCTTCGTCTGGGCTCTAAATTACCAGGATTTATTAGGGAGTGTCTTTGCAATGGTGCGCAAGTCACATAAGACTTAAATTTGCACGGGCGTGTCTAACATCTATTTAAAAATAGTCAACAGCCATCAAATATATATATATATATATATATATATATATATATATATATATATATATATATATATATATATGTGTGTGTGTGTGTGTGTGTGTGTGTGTGTGGTGTGTGTGTGTGTGTGTAATGCCACCTTCGGTTCGATAATCTTTAAAAACAATCAAAGGCAGCAACAACAATTTTTCCCGTGGCTGCACAATTCAACCAACCGGACCACGACACAGATAACATCAGATGCTTATTTTTAGTGTCTTCATTTAAGAGTCAACAAGAAAGAACTAAATAGGAGTTAAAATACATTTTCAGTATCCACAGAGAGCTGTCTACAAACCTTACACAACTACTAAGCCTAAATCAAATTTTTACAGTAATACTATACACGAAAAATCAAACAAACAAACAAAACCAACAAACAAAAAATCACAGAAGAGTGAGGCCAACCTCATTGTTTATTTCTCGTCTCGTTGAAAAATGACATAGGCGTGTTCAAAAATCCTGACATTAAAATCTTTCTATTCGTGCTTCGGTTTAGTCAAAAGGCCTACTAATATATAATAAATATCATCAGTCTTATTGACAATATTTTTATTATTTTATGGTCTTTTCATTCCACAAATTTTATTAACCGGCCTATTAAATACACACACGCACACGCACATATCACACACACACACACACATATATATATATATATATATATATATATATATATATATATATATATATACTCGACTCTTCCGTCGAATTCGACGTATGAGGGTCAAGCAGATCAGTTCCTAGGAAACTGACAGAGCCCGACACCAGCAACATGAGATTTGATTCTAGTGGTGAAGGCTTTTGTGCAGAACCAGCCACACTTTTTGAGACTACGTTCCACAGGGTTCCCAAACGACCCTCCGCAGGTTTTGAATTAAGAGTTGCTCTTCTCCTAGACCAGTTGCCATCCAAGGCTATAGAACCCAAACTGTCCTGCTATTTAACCATAGCTGGAGGGAGAAGAAGAGGATTCACGCCTTTCCCAAAAGAAAAGAAAGTTTTGTGAAATTCAACCTACAATATCTGTCTGTTTATTTTTTATTGTATTTTTTTCTAATTTTCGAATAAGTTATTCTAATCAAAATTGGAATTGTCTAAATCTAAATTGTGGATAAACTCTCTGAAGGTCATGTTTTTGTTCTATTTGTGTTTGAGTATTTCCGGCTATCACCGTTATTATCAAGAACTGAATGTTGCCATCACGGTATATAAGAATTTGTTAGCAACATCAAAGTATTTCTTGGGGCGGGTGGTAATGTTGCAATTCACATTCAAATACACGCGTATTGTATAAGATGCATGAACAAAAACAGAAGAAAAATATGACAAAATTATGAACCTTTTATTTAACGTTCATAATTCGAAATATTAAAATTCAGTCAAATTTTACAAAGCCAGAGATTTTATTTTATCTAAGGGGTGTTTTTTTTTTTTTTTTTTTAATTTACTTAGTGTTGTAACCTAGAAAGGGTTACCGAATGAGGAATAACCAAAACTGTGGTTGGAAATGAAATAGTAATCTTTATAACTTCAACAAAATACAATACTCGCCAGCGCCTTGAAGTAGGTAAACCACAACTAGAGGTGAACTACTTAGACATCGTATTACCCCACTTACAATAGTGTCCAATGTATTTATGAGAATTGGGACATACCCATTAGTGTTCATAGGCACGGTATATAACACTTAGTTACGCGAATATTATAATATGTCCAAATTCTATAAAATATATAAAACTGAATAACACTTCCTTTGATTATATATCTGTAGACATATTAGTTATGTTCTTTTCCAGAATGTCTTTTCATAAGCATTTAAATTTTTCTTGATAAAAAAATTAACCTCTTACTTCTATTCTCTCTTTTACTCTTTTACTTTCTTCTGTCTGTCTCTCTCTCTCTCTCTCTCTCTCTTTAACTTCCTATTCTATCGTCTTCACTACGTCATCTTCCTTCCTTTCTTCTTTTCTTCTTTCTTTCTTTCTTTCTTTCTTTCTTTCTTTTAACGATTCAGCGACTGACACAAAAATAGACGATAGCGTCGCTGATGATTACGACTGCAACGTCATCAAAACCCATTTGAGAATGTTTGCTAAATTAATTTTAGTTATATTTTCTGCACGAGTAATGTAGGAATTTTATCCATACAATTAACTCTATTGTTGTGTGTTATTTTGCAATCTCAAAAGAATTTTGCATTTTAAATCATTAAAAGTAAATCAATCAGAGAAAACCAAAATAATAAAAAAATTACAATATATAACTGATTTTATTGTTATGGTAAGTTACCATAAAAACGGAATATCTCATTATTTGAAATAATGTTATTTAAACATAAAATATAATTAATATATATAAAGGGAAACAATATTATTTTGTATATTTATATATAAAATAAAATCGTTTTATATTATTAAAAAAATACAATATATAACTGATTTTATTGTTACAATAAGTTACCATAAAAACGGAATATCTCATTATTTGAAACAACGTTATTTAAACATAAAATATAATTAATATATATAAATGGAAAACATGTTATTTTATATATTTATATATAAAATAAAATCGTTTTGTATTATAAAATATATAGTATGATTACACACCCACATTGTTCTTTTTATTGTATCTATCTATTATTATCTATCTATCTATCTATCTATATAAAAGTAGAATATAATTAAAGTGTAAAATATTTATCTATCTATCTATATCTATAAAAAGTAGAATATATCTAAAGTGTAAAATATCTATCTATCTATCTATCTATCTATCTATCTATCTATCTCGATAACTATCTATCGCATTCTGTCCATATTTATATCCTATCTATCTATCTATCTATCTATCTATCTATCTATCTATCACGATGGCAAAGATCACGGCAATCAAATGTAATTCTATAGATGCCGAACGAACTCATGTTTCTGTTACTGGTTCGGTGATGATGTGTCGAGGAGATATGAAGGAATCATAAGGTCAAGATTGAAATATCGTAAGCTTGAGCCATTTGAGTGTCACATAAAAAATCTAATGTCGACAGATTCTTAAGATTGATCGAAGTGTTGGAATAATGTCGGAAAAGACCGGAATGCCTTAAAAAGAGTTAACAAAAGGCAGCTGCTGGTTACAAAAATATTTTCGTCCTTACGCAATACTATTGCTTGCTGGCCATAAGCATTGGTCTGAATTTTGAATCGTTTGTTCATAAATGTGATGACGATAGAGCAATGGTTGTATTTGTTTTTCAGCTCGATCTTTTACCCTTTTAATTTAGACTGATAATCTTCCCCTTCCTTCCGCGTCTCTGTTTTCCTCGCATTTAGTGTGTATCTCTTCGCTCTTCCAGCTTTTAAAGGGTTCACTTATATCGTATTTGCACGATTTGTCTATTAATGTGCGATCTTAAGAGTATTTTTGTGACAGGAAAGCACATGGTCAGCTAGTTACTTGACTGAATTCTGATAAAATACTTCCCGAAAAATATTCTTCCTAGATCACGAACGAATATATCGTTATGTAAACAAACAACATAATCCATTGTGTTATTATATCCAAGCTAATATTTACCTTTAATTCTTTAAGAATCTCTCAAACTTCTCAAATTTCTCGAAATTAATTAACATTCTTAATCGATTATTTTTCTCTTTTTTTGTTTGAATAATCATTAAACGCAGTCAAATATACTATCAGTCCTCCCTGTTTCTAAACCATACGGCAGAGTCTTTCTTCATTGAGACTACTTTTATTAACTTTGTACGAATATCTTTGAGAAATGCATGAATGTATTACCCGCTGTGTTTTCTGTTTCATCGCTAGATATCTTTACAAATGAATCTCTTTTCTTTTCTTTTTCATTTGTTTTATAGACAGAATCGGAAATAGCGGAAGACGAGCCAGCATAACTCTATGTATCTAATTGTAAAGAAGAAGTCGTTAAATATTATTTCAGACTTTTTCATGTAAATCTGTAGTATAAATATATATATATATATGTATGTATATATATATATATATATATATATAGATAGATAGATAGATAGATAGATAGATAGATAGATAGATAGATAGATAAAAACAGTATACGATAGAATGATAAATATGGACAGAATGCGATAGCTATGTTAGCGTAGTTATTGAGATAGATAGATAGATAGATAGATAGATAGATAGATAGATAGATAAAAACATTATACGATAGGATGATAAATATGAACAGAATGCGATAGCTAAGTTAGTGTAGTTATCGAGATAGATAGATAGATAGATAGATAGATAGATAAAAACCGTATACGATAGGATGATAAATATGAAAAGAATGCGATAGCTAGGTTAGCGTAGTTATCGAGATAGATAGATAGATAAGAACAAATTTACATAGATATCTCGATAGATAAATATTTCCTTATGGCACTCAAATATTGACTGATTCATGTGAAGTTTTCGAACATTTGCGTTGTGAAATTCACGCATTAGAAGTGTTCGCAGATTGATTTTAGTTTTTATTCGCATCCACAATATAGTATCTTAAAAGAATAAGAGGATTATGAAAGACAAGAATACAATTCATTTACAGAATCCTTTTGCTTTCCCTTTCTCCATCATTCAATTTTCTTTTCCAATTTTGTGTCCCTTCTTCATAGGACTGGCCACTTTGTTCGTGACGAACGCTCAGTGAACCCTTTACATATGGATACGTGCCAACACTTCGGCTCAGCATTTGTACATTAAATCTATCTAATTCGACGCTTCAAGATTTTTTTTTTCAATCTCAGTCTGGAAGATTGAAAAAAAAAGCAGAGAAAAACAAAGCGAAAATGCAAACAAACGAGTAAGTACATGGAATAAAAGCTTTCCAATTATTCAATAGTAATAGCATTGCATTTTTACCGGTATTAGAGATTTCCAAACATCTCTATTACATCACCTAGAAAAAAAAAGAAGTTTTGTTTCAATACAGAACATAGTTTCGGCAATTCAATATCGTTTCTCGTTGCAACCTCTTTCTAAGATCAATCGTAAAAAAAAGCCTTTCAGCGAGTGAAAACTGAGGGGCTTGTCAAAGATCACCCCTCTTTCTTTCTTGGGTCAATGTTTAAAAATGTTTTCGTGCGAGTAAAGTCTTAGCGAGAATTATCCTTCTTAGAACAATGTGGATTTGCATTACAGAATCACAGACAAAGAACTGTATCAAATAACAGAAAACACTTGAGGACTTTCAACGGCAGCAACAATTAAAATGGATAGCACACGTAACTCAAGGAGAGAACAATGACATTATCAAGATGTTAAAGTTACACACTATTTCAAGCAAAAGGTTAGGCAGGAAACCCCTATCAATAGAGAAAAGAGCAATAACATCTACTGGACTCGAGGAAACTGTTTTCCTTAAAAGAGAAAGACTTTTTAAATTTCAACCAAAAATCTGTACTAACTGCTCGGCCAATGAAAGCCAAAAGGTTTCTTGTGGGGAAACGGCTAATATTACCATCACCATCCTCATTGCCATATTTTCAATCATGACATACTAGAGGCACGTGGTGACATAAGGTTTACTTGCACGGAACTAGGGATAAGTAAATCGAGTTCGAATTTGAGTAAAGGACATTCGTTTCAAACAAATACTTTTAGAAGAAGCAGGAATCCATTCTTCCCTGCACACTTTCTCATCAGTAGATATATTTTCGGAATGTCTCATCAGTATCATGCCACCATGTTTGACAGAGCGGGCGATTGGAAACTTAGGCAAAACCACTGACATTTTTAAGTAGCAGCAGTCCAAAGTTCATTACCAACGACGACACCGATCAACAAATAACATTTTCTTTAGTTGCACTACACTTTATATACGAAATATTAATCAAAACATCTTAAGAATTCAACATGAAAAAGATTAGTTTCACTATTAAAATTGAAG